ACTAACTGAGCTATCTGGCTAGGGTCAGAGTGATTATTAAAGGAGACTTCTGTTTAGCTTTGTAATATACAAAATGAAAAATAGTTTAGCATTAGGAATTTTAAAATTCAATTTATTAAAAAAATTTTGGGACATTTATTTTATATTAACTTTGCACATTTATACATTTTTCTCTGTGATTATTCCTGTTTTAGTCCCTGACATTAAAATATGCAAATTGAGAGGACTAACCATAGAAATAATACTAAAGAAAATACGCATAAAGCAGAACATACATATAAAGAGTACATATAAAGCAGAAAGGAAAGGTATAAAGTAAAAGAAACAATGAAATAGCATTAATCTTCCTAATTTTAAGGATACGTGCAGTCATTTCCTCACTTGGAGATGTTTTCTTAACTTTCAGATTTCAGACATACTTTTTTCATTGTACATTTTGAATTCTAATCAAATGGTAATAATTTCACATTGAAAAACCCTGCAATGTGAAATATAAGAATTGTAGTTCTTTTTCTGTCTTGGACTTGACAGAATTAGTAATACTCCTTTCTAGTCCCAGGATGTGTGTGTGTGTGTGTTTTTTGTTGATTGGTTTTAATATTGCCTTTATTGATAAATGAAGTAAAACTTCATTTTGATCTTATTAGGAATTTGCAATATTTATAGTCAGACTTTGGTAAGTTGTTTACTTAATTTGACATGATGAAGAAATCTAGTCATTTCTTCAAACAATATTGTACTGAAGTGTTTAGTTAAATAAGTAAACAAATTTCATAAGCTCTTGAATTGTTAGTTTGTAAGTAGATTGTATATGTGCCAATTTCAAAGGAAGCTCTTGTTTTAAGTAAAAGAGCCTGAACTGGAAAAGATTTTCTTATCACATAGTTGCTTTTTGTAGGAAATGAACAGTAATAAAACTTCATCTTTAAAACTATTTTATAAGTCATATGAGCTATTTCAATTAATTCCAAAGGTTGAGGGTTTTCTTTTAGTTCATCCATTTATTCTTCATTTATTGAATGTCTTTTTGAAGACAGGGAAACATACTTTAAAATGTAGCTTTCAATGCCAAGAAGTCCCTATCTTAATAAAGTGTGTAAGTGTGGTTGGGGGAGTCTTGAGAAGGGAGTTAAAAATTCTGGTCTGGGGGAGATGGAAGGAAAAGATAGTTATATTTGTGTTACTTTTGATATATGAATACAAGCTTCAGCCAGGCAACTCCTCGTAGCCAATTATTATTTAGGATTCCAGAGCTTTTATTCAGTAGAATATATAGATACAAAATACTCAAGGTTATAAAATACCTTATTCATATCTAATGTCCTCCTTATAGGCATAAAACCTCTAAACTTCATATCATTTTCCATACTTGCAGTACATTCTGTGGGTTGAGAGAGATTCTATATTAATTTTTAAAATTTTGGACAAGTTATTTAACTTTTTAGATTATAATTTTTTTTATTTATAAATTGAGACCAGTGATTGTCAGGGATATACAATATAATAATTTTGGAAGGTTTTAAAACATACACATATTTAAATCTTTATTTATTTATTTAAAATATTTTTATTGATTTCAGAGAGGAAGGGAGAGGGAGAGAGAGAAACATCAATGATGAGAGAGAATTATTGATTGGTTGTCTCCTGCACCCCCAACACAGGATCGGGTTCGCAACCCAGGTATGTGCCCTGACTAGGAATTGAACCTTGACCTCCTAATTCATAGGTCAATGCTTAACCACTGAGCCACGCTGGCTGGGCATATATATAGATCTTGATCCAAACCTATTGATTAAGAAAAAGCCCCTGAAGTGGTGCTGATGTTATAAATCATTAAAATAAATAAACTGTAAGTTATTAATAACTCAGATTTTACCTCAGGAAGAGCTGCTCATATATATATTTTTAGTTACTTGATTAAACTCTTACACAGTAAAGTTTGTGATTATGGGAAGTGGGTATCGTAGGCTATCATTTTTACTATTTGAATAATCACTTATATTGTTAGAATGGATACCTGATTAAAATAAGATTGATTAGAGAGAGAAACAGCCTTCTGTATGTGCCCAACCAGGGATTGACCCCCAAACCTGGGTATGTGCCCTGCCCAGGAATCGAACCCTTTACTTTTCCATATATGGGGATATTGCTCCAATCAACATGGGTCAAGGGTGGATAACTGATTTTTTACATAATTAGAATGTGAAAGATAATACATATCATTAAAAAACTGAACATAGCCCAGCTGGTGTGGTTCAGTGATGGAGCATTGACCCATGAACCAAGAAGTTGATTGTTTGATTTCCAGTGAGGGCATGTGCCTAGGTTGCAAGTCCCGATCCTCAGTAGAGGGTACACAGGAGGCAGCCAACCAATGATGTTTCTATCTATACTTTTCCCTTCTTCTAAAATCAATAAAAACATTAAAAAAAAAAACACCAAAAACAACATAATTTGGAATCACTTTAGAATCCGGCACTACCTCAGGCATGTTTATGAAACTTGATTTGCATTATATCACCGATCTAAGGAAATGCTAATCTGTAGGTATTTTTATTACTGGGACAAATTCTTAGTTATGTAGTTCTTAGTTACTCTTATAATATAACTAGAGGCTTAATGCACAAATTTGTGCATGGGTGGGTCCCTCTGGGTGGCCTGCAGGGATTGGGCTGAAGCCCGCAGTCCAATGCTGCCTGCAGCTCCTACCTGCCGCTCCTGCTCATCCCGGCCCCACTGTGCCTGACATGGGCTTGTGCTCCATCAGTCCTGTTAGGGAGAGGCTCATGCTGCCACAGTAGTGCTTGCCAGCCATGAGCCCTGCACCTGGTGCCCTCCCAAGGGGAGTAGCCTGTGCGATCGGGCTGAAATTGGCTCTCTGACATCCCCTGAGGGGTCCTGGAGTCCTGGATTGCTAGAGGGTGCAGGCCAGGCTGAGGAACCCCACAGTGCACGATCGGGTCGGGTCGGGGTGGGACTGCAGGAGGGCTCCAGGGCATGTTGGTCCCATCTTGCTCAGTCCCGATGGATCATCCGGACCCCAGCAGCAAGCTAACCTACTGGTTGGAACATCTGCCCCTGGTGGTCAATTCACATCATAGTGAGCAGTTGAGCAGCCTTAGCATATCATTAGCATATTACGCTTTGATTGGTGGTTCTGCCATTTGGTCTTTTTACATATTACCGTTTTGTTATATAGGATTTTGGGGAAGTGGATTAATTGGAAGTTTAATTTATAAGAAATAACATGTTAAACTGATAGTCTAGTCTGAGGAAAGTCATAAATTTTAATATGATATTGAAATGGAATTTACATAGTTGCCTTTTGTTCAGTCTGGTTAAAGATTAGGGAATTCAAAATATCTTAAAGTAATTTTGTTGTATTTATGTGTGAGAATGAATAGAACTCTTAGTGCATTCCTATTTTCATTTGAAAAAAATAGGCATGATTGCATTGATTTTTATACTTTGGATTGGAAGGAAGTTAGGTGATATTTAAAAAATAGTTTCAATTTGAGTTGAAGTGTAAGTTATCCAATAACAATTTATTCTTATTTTTGGCTACCGTTTCTTTTTAAGGTATGTAAAATTTCACCAATGGTTTGCTCCTATTTTTATAGTTGCATGTAGTCTTTATTTTTCCTTCTAGAATTATTTTAAGTTTATTTAGAAAGAGCACCAAGAAACTGATGTGGTTGTTCTTACACAGTATTTCAATATATATGAATAGTATAACATCTATGAGTCTATTGTATACTGCAACTCGCTACTTAGAATACCTTTAAAATTGTAGCACCATAAAGTTCTAATCTTGTTTTGGTATTCATAGTCTGCAGTGCATAAGATCTCTACTGAAACGTATGTCATAGTTTGACAATCATTGTTTACACGTAATTTTCTCTCTTTTTATTACAATGCTTCCCCAGCAAGGACAAGTTTGGAAGGTTTGCAAAGCTTTTCACCTTCCCTTTGCCCGCTTGCCCGCTTTCAGATCAGTTTCATGTTTCATAACTTCTCTTTCTGCAATCCACAACATAGTTATAGTAAACAATGAAAAAACATTAAATTGTAATATTGTATTTCTTTATACATAGTAGAGTAATATAAATTTTCAAAGAACACATCCTTTTAAAAATACAATGAAAAGACGTGAAATAGGAACGTTAAAGTTTTAGTAATTCCCTAAGAAATAACATCTCACTAGCAAGCAGTTAATTGTCACATAATGAAACAGTAAACAGTATTGAAAATTATATTCGGTATTACTAATAGTTCAGATAAAAAGTTCTGATGATTCCGTACATTTATGTAATGCTTTACAGTTTACTATAAAAAATGCTGTACCACTGAGGTGATAAAAATGTAAACATTTCCATTTGTTCTGTGCTTATGAGGTAAATGTAGAACAGATGTAGATTTATTGTTTGAAGTGCTGCTGGTCTGATGGAAAACACTGCTGTAACTCGGATATTCAGAGGAACAGGCAACACACTTTGTATTATAAAAACAGTTTTAGCAGCTTTCTGTTCTTTTGAACTAGGGCTCTTGTTTAAAGTGAATGAGGAAAACATTTTGGAAAGACATGTAAACAGCTTTTACTTTATAACACTTTAGAAACATTTCCAGTATTTTTCTGAATATTTAATTTTGTAAAATTTTATTAGCTTCAGATGAATACAATCCTACCTCAAACCAAGAACTTTTTTCTTTTTCTTTTCTTTTTCTTTCTTTTTTTTAGGTTTGAGCTTTTTCCTTCACTGCTGTTCTGCGTTAACTGCTTTAAAACTTTCCATGCATTTTTTTTTTTCAGTAGAAGAACATCTCTGTACTGTCTCCCATTGCATATTTCAGCTGTGACAATCCCTGCACTTTGCCTATTCATTTTATCACCTGCTCACCAAAAACAATAAATACCTCTCTAAATTCTGATTACAGATTCACTATTGTTCCTTGGTTTTAGAAGGAAGCACTTCACTTTTTTAATTACTGTTGTTTTATAGGCATGTGGAGACCCCAAGGCAAAGCCATCCTACCTTATTGACAAAAATCTGGAATCTGCTGTGAAATTCATAGTCAGAAAGTTCCCTGCTGTAGAAACCCGCAACAACAATGTAAGTCATCTAAATTTTTGTATTTATTTAGCCATTAAGGGAAATTGATAATCAGTAAACTGCTTGAAGTAGCTCTGATTTGTCTATTTTCTTATATTTTGATATACAAATTATATACATTGATTAAGGGTTTTTAGAGACAATGTTCTTATTTCTGAAACTGGAAAAAATGACTCTGAACTACATGCCATTTTATTACACACAACATAATAAATTAATTTCTTATACACTTCCCTTTCAAGTTGCAACAGAGAGTAAGGTAATAGATATGTATATATATTCCAAATATTTGCATGATTAGTTGGGGAGTTTTTTCATATAGTTATAATTTTGTTTTGATGTTAGTGTCTTTTTAAAATTTATCTTTATTGTAGAAAGTAGAGCTTGTATTTTTTCTAGTAATTAGGTTTAGTTTTAAAATATATTTGCTTCTTTAGTATCTTTATAACTAAGAAACTCATTTCTCAAATTTAATCATATAATGTGACATTGTTAAGAGATCTTTAATATCCCATATTACTTTTCTCAGATGAGGAAATTTTTCTTAGTATATTGAAGTATAATCATATTAAAATATTCCTGATAAATTTATATATCTTTTGGTAGTTATTTAGAATAACATCAATAAATATCTAATTTTAGAAAATTAGAGCTGTTTTTTACCTTATGGTTTTCTCATGTAAATTTTATTGGCTTAGATCTTTCTGCATGTCTTCTCTTTTACTTATTTTTGTCTTTGATAGCCTTATGTTATAATCTTTACTGTCTTTTTTCTTTATGTACAAACTTAGTCTAGAAATTTCCTCTTATATATTATCTCCCTACTTTTAAGAAGCACTGTTTAAAAAATATTGTTATCTTTTGATTTCCTCAAATTATGTGTGCTCATTGAAGATTTGTAGTTAGCCTGTTGACACCACTTTTACTTTAAAAAGTTTTAATGGAGAGGGAAAAATACTAGTTAGAATTTATAAAATAAGTCTGGTAAAGTGATTTTTAAAGAATTTTTTAAAAAAAGTGTGTGTGTGTTTTTTTAAGTACAGGTTAATCTTCTTTGTTTCATAGAAGATTACATCTTATTGGTATGTCACGGTATCTCAGTTAGTTCCTCATTACAAATGGGTGATTCAAAGCATACACTTAATAAGAACAGTATTATTTGTTTGGAGAGCTCTTAGTTATTGACATTAATTAGCTAATTTATCTGAGAGATTATATACTCAGTCTGAATGAGATTTTATAATGAAAATCTGTCTTATATTTAATTTCATATAGTACACCACTTTCTCATGGCTCAAAATCTCTGAGCTCTTTAGAGAATCTTTTAAAATGAATTTTATATAGTACTAGAAGTGCGGATACAGTCCCTAGGCCTGGCCTGCGATCAGGGCCATCTTCCTCAGCTGCCTGCAGCTGGCCCCGCCACCCACCCCCGTTCTCTGTTTGCCATTGGGTGATCTGTGCTTGATGGCTGGGGGAAGGGACGAGAGATAAGCTGTTCCTACCCATTCACCAGCCCACCCCTGCAATGGGTGGTCAAAAGGTGACTGGAGCCTGCCGGCTGGGGAAAGGGACCAAGAGGTGGTCAGTGCGCCTCATAATGACTGGTCCAGCAGTTATTCTGGTTGTTCTGCTGTTAAGGTCAATTTGCATATTACCCTTTTATATAGGATAGAGGCCTGGTGAATGGGTGGGGACTGGCTGGCCTGCGCTGATGGGGGCCCCGGATCAGGGTAAGGGTCCCTGCTAGGATGGGGCTGGCCTGGGCTAGCAGCCGCAGTGGTTTGCAGGCCTGCCATGCCCTCGATCTGGGTGGGGTCCCTGCTGGGTAGCGGTGCTAGCCTGGGCGAGGTGCCTGGAATGGTTTGCAGGCTGGCCATGCCCCCAATTCGGGTGGGGGTCCTAGCTGGAGGGTGGGGTGTCCTGGGTGAGAGGCCGTGGGCGGTTTGCAGGTGGCCATGCCCCTGGCTTTGTCAGGAAGGATGTCCAGAAAACTTCTGGTCTAATTAGCATATTACCCTTTTATTAGTATAGATGTATGTGTAAATTTCCATCAGAATAAGCATAGTTCAGAAGTATGAGGTCTTAGCAAATTGACAAGATCTGCTTAAATATATAATCACTTTAATGGTGGTAAAACTTTTGTTAAAAAGCAAATAGGAATTTTTGTTGTTCTTGATTTGCTGGGCAAACTGTTAATAATAATAGTGTTTTTTTCAATAGTTTTTACTTCTCAACTTGGAGCACAAATTGATTTTTTAAATAACAAGTGTTAGTGAGATATTCATGTACAGTTCACCCATTTAAAGTATACAATTCAGTGGTTTTTAGTGTATCCATAGAGTTGTGCATCTATCACCACAATCAATTTTAGAAAGCTTCATCATCCCAAAAAGAAAACTTGGACCAGTCAGTCCTGCCAATCCCCAACCCTTAGGCAAACACTAATCTATTTTATGTGTGAATGTCTATTTTGGAACTTTTAAATAAATAGAATCATATGCTATGTGGTCTTTTATGACCTGTTTCTTTCATTTAGCATAAAGTTTTCAAGGTTTATCCAAGTTGTAGTATGTATCAGTAATACTTTATTTCTTCTTATTGCCAAAAAATATTTTATTGTGTAGATGTACCACATATCCATTCATATCCATTCATCAGTCGATGTTTCTGCTTTTTTGACTATTATGAATAAAACTGCTATGAACATTTGTGTAAAAGTTGTGTGAACATATGTTTTCATTTCCTTTGGATATACAGGTGGGCAAAACTAGGTTTACAATTGTGAGTACATGAAACAATTTATTCTTGTACTAGAGGCCCGTTGCACAGCATGGCTCAATGGTTGCATAAAATTCATGCATGGGTAGGATCCCTAGTTCTGATCAGGGCCTGTCTGAGGGGCGATCAGTGGGGTGTTCAGGAAGCCCTGGCTGGCACCTGCCTTGGCTGGCTTGGGGCCTGCCAGCTAGGGGCATCTCCTGCATTGAGTGTCTCCCCCCTGATGGTCAGTGTGCTTCATAGCCACTGGTCGTTCTGCCATTCGGTCAATTTGCATATTAGGCTTCTATTATATAGGACTATTATTTATTAGTTATTGTATTTTCCAAACAACTGTAAATCTACTTTTGCCCAACCATCTATATACCTAGGGTGGAATTGTTGGGTCATGGGGTGATTCTATATTTAACTTATAAAATCAATTGTTCAAAGTTGTTGAATGTTGTGACCATTTATAAAATTTACTCTGATTATTTTGTTTGCAAACTCTGTTTTGTCATAGGACCTTTACAGCTATTCTGTGTAATGAATGCTATTCTGTTTTTTTTTTTTTTGTTTGTTTGTTTTTGTTTTTTCTCTCTGCTTAAGCCTTATATAATTGGTATTTGTGAAGTTTTGTGATCTCAGTTTTGATCTGGGCCTGACAAAATTCTTGTGAAAAGTTCCTAGCCAACTTGGGTTAGGAAATAAGAAACGAGGAATTCAGTTTTATTTTATTTTTTAAACTCATAGATATAGTTTATGGAGGTTTAAGGACTGGGTATAATAGTCAAGATTGTTAGGAACTTGAAGATTTCTGGCTACTATGCCGAAGAAATGGTATTAATACCACAGTAGGCTTTTTTCATCTTATTCCTGGTTTTGAGTCATCACAGAATATACTTATTTTATTTCTGGGGTCAGGGAGAATGACTGGTTAGCACCATTTCTGTTTTGATTCATGCCGTACTAGCACTACTTGTCCCCAATTTCAGAAAAGGCATTCTTCATGAAAAGAGAGATTGTGTCAGTGAAAAATCCAGTAGAAATGTTTTCCTGAAATTTATAAAATAGATCCTTATTTTGCAGCCAAGAATTGTTAATTCTTGATATTTCTTTGGTAACTGTTCCCACCCCTATACTTTTCAATCCCCTTGGAGGTTGTGAGCACATAGATATCTGGTATACAACAAAGGAAGGCATTTTGGACAGATAGCAGTATTTGTCCTTACCATGGCTTCAGCAGTGGTGATGGTGGATTCTGTTGAGTCACTTTTACTGTCTTGCTCAGGCCCCTTTTTGACTAGTTTTAAGATTTTATATCCAATTCTGGATTTAGGGAATGTCTGGGCCAAGGAATGGTTTTGTTTTCTGGGACATAGTGTTGAACTAAATGCTTCTTAAGCTTTAAAGCAGATGAAATAAGTAAAAGTCAAATAAATAAAAGACATACCAGTTTTATAAGTATAGCAGCCACTTGTGGAGTGTCTAGTATTTGACAGGCTATGTATTTTAATAGAGTTACTAGATTTTTCTCATTTAATTTCAGAATAAGGAAATCATTTCTCAGCTGAGAGATTGTCTAATTTGCCTATAACATGGTATCTTCCATTATTTTGAAAGTGTAACTGTCAAATGGATTTGTAATTTGTTTCCATAGCTTTATTTTTTTCTTAAATCCTCACAAGAGGATATGTTTTTATTGATTCTAGAGAGAGAGAAAGGGAGAGGGAAGGAGGTAGGGAATGAGGAAAGGGGAGAGAAGGAAGGGTGGGAGATCAATGTCAGAGAGAAACATCAATCGATTGCCTATTGCACATACCCCAACAGGGGATCAAACCCAAAACCTGGGTATGTGCGCTGAGGGGAATCAAACCTGTGACCTTTCAGTGTACTGGACAGCACTCCAACCAACTGAGCCACACTGGCCAGGGCTCCCATAGTTTTCTTGTGAGCATATAGAAGAGAATCTGTTATTTGTCTGGATAGAGAAAATAGTAGAAACTCCTTATTTTATTAACAGGTAAAGATTGCTTTGCCCAAGAAATTTTAAAAGGAATTTTAAGCAAATGTTCAGATGTATGTTACAACTTTTCAATGAAATTTTTATTATAAAATTTTAAAGCAATTTTCCCCTCTTTCTCTCTATGTTGTATTTATATCTAAAAGTTAGTTTGTGGTTTTAGAACAGTAAAAATATCTGGCACAAAAGCATATTATGGAACTTGCCTATTTATTGT